GAGACCAGGGATGGGCGGAGCATGCAATTCCCCTGCAGCTTGAAGCTTTTCGCCGGGAGCCAGCGATACTAATTTGTTAGCCATTTCTCCCCAGCCCATCATGTCAATCAGTGCTTGGACATCATCATCAAAATTCTTCGGCGTGATGCAGACCATGTCCCCAGGAGCATAGGTGACCGCCTCGGAGACCGTAAGCGATATCTGGCGCACATCTTGCCAATGGGTGCGTGGTGTGACTCGTCTGTTTTCAACCAGGGTTGCCGTCAATGCATCTGGGATTGGTCTCACGTCGTGATCCAGCCGAGTCAACCCCGGATACTCGGCAGACTCTGTCTGTTCGCTCACTGAAGTCTGCCCCGTAGGCTCTTCACTTGGTGTGGCCTGTTCTTGCAATCTCAGGATCCATTTAGGTGGCAGTTGCACGTCATCCGGTATCGGATGCAGCCCTTCAGGAAGCGGATACTTGTCCAGCAAGTGGCTACGAAAGTCGGTAATCCAAGGAATGAATGTGCCTTCAAGTCTAGTATCCAGTCAGTCATTGTAGAGCAATCCAGGCAAATTCAAAACTCACCCCTCTGGATGTTGCGCATTAGCCTCGCCACGGGGATATATCTCATTAGCCCCGAGTTGGAGTAGACGCTTGTGCAATTTCCGCGCAGCCCAATTAAACCTGATTCAAGTCAAACACTGCCTTCATACCAACATCTACAAAGCCACTCACTTGGGGTATGAACTATCGCCCAATCCAAACGAAACATAATTGACCCCGCTCAAGAAAGTAGGCGACAGCTTCTTCAGAAGCAAGGATCTCCAAAACGACCGAGCATTCGCAGGAATTTCACCCTGGCCAGTCGTCGACACAACAAATATCGTAAAAGTAAACGACTTGAGCAACTCCTGCGCAGGATTGTAAGCAAGGTCCACCCCAGAAGCAAGGGAAATACCTAAACACGCACAGCCTTTACAGAGTTCATTTCGGCGACATGAGTCACGAAATGTAGGCGCTCGGCCAGCGCCCCAAGCTCTTCGGCCACTTCTTGCGCGTTTCCTGTTTCCGAGCCATACAGGACAAGAGCCGTCCGCGTAGGGGACCCTGGGGTCTGGCTCTCACTCATCCTGGGATACAATTGCTGCTTGCCGCGGGGCAGATTGTCGCTATATCTGCCCCTCTATCTATCTCTGCGGCCTTTAGGCCGAAGTTCGGAATGACATCATCTCGAGGCCTTTTGGCCTGAGGCCGCAATTTTTAGATGCCTGCCAATGTACTCGGTACCTCTCTTCTCCGTATGCTAGGTGCTCCAATCCGTGTAATAGAGACGTGGTGTTTGTTAATATTTTTTCTCTAATATATAGACGAAAGCTGCCTCGAGGCGATTTCGCTGCTGACTTAGTCTTAGAACCCTAGTCTGACTGATAACGCTTTGTATCCTATGAAAAAATTTCAAGCGCCTGGGATATGCTCGACCATGCGCTGCTCCCTAGAATATAGAAACTAAACAAGATGGGGTATCTCAACAATTGTGCCTCAGTAGGTGTCTTCATCTCCACCACCTCCTCCGCCGTCTGCGAATCCGTCATCTCCGTATTCATCGTCGCCAGCATCAAAGTACTGTTCCGCATTGTAGTCCCCGCCCATTTCATCATCATCATCCTCAAAGTCGTTGTCGACGATCTCTTCCTCCTGGTCCTCGTCCGGGTCCAAGATATCCCCCTCTTCTTCCCGCTCTTCTCGTTCAGCATCCTCATCTTCGTCGACGCCCTTCCTACGCTTGGTCTCCTCGACATCATGTTCCTCTTCTTCATCCTCAAACCCCCTTTTCACTCCGATGCGAGGTCCATGAGGCACGTATCCATCCATTGCAGCTGAGGGGTTGAAGTTCGGCTGAATCGTCTTCCACAGCTGGCGAGGGAAGAATTTCATGACTGCAGCCGGTCAATTAGCCACCGATCAGCGGTTATTCCCCCATATATCCCGCTGGCAACACTTACCATACGGACGTCCCTTCAACTCCGGCCGGTCCCGCTTCTGCTTCTGGTACTTGCCCGAATACGTAGGCATTCCGTGGAAAGGGTCAAAGTGCGTGCGAGTAGCGCCATCTTTCCTTGCTGTGCCCGAGGTCGATTGGAGGACGGAGTAGTATGGACCGTCGTGAAAGCGATCCCGCAGAGCACGGTAGAGATCGACCTGTTTTTGTTCGCGAGGGTTCAAAAGTCTCGCGCGGGGAATGTTATATCTCTAMACGCAGGATGTGAGTAATCCTAGCCTTCTGCCAGAGGGTTATCGGAGAGTCGCTTCAACATACAGGAAAAAGAGGTGTAGGCGCTGTGTCTGCTTCCCCCGCAGGATCGGCCTCCCAGGTAGATTCTGCACCGGGGAGCTTCCTGCCTTTCTTTGCTCCAATTCGAGACATATTGGCAGGACGGACGGCGGAACGAATAGAGGTCCAGAGCTTCTGGAGCAATCACCAATTACTCAGTCCGCCATTTACCAAGAGCCCGTCCGAGTAAATAGATAGTGCCCCGCCGAAGACCTGATGTGGCTTCGAGTTGGTGATGACAGCAAGGACGAAAAAAAGTTCCGGCGGAGCTCCGCCTCACCGCCTTTGCTCAACTTCTCCATTCGGCAACCAGGGCATCGGAAATGAACCCTACAGATCGTGATGGATACTGAGGTTAACAAGTATACTGTGTGGATATCTCTAGCTACGTTTGCCTGAAGGGAATATAGAAAGCATCATTAGTTCGTAATCTATCTGCACATTTTGAGCTCGATATCTGCGTAGAGCACAGGTTCTCACAACCCCACAGTCGCAACGCCAGCGGTATTTTGCATGACAGGTCCCCAGGGACCTTCGCTGACTCGTTGTCTTAACGTACGAAGAATATCCTCGAAACCTGTTACTTGGCCGCCCGTCTCCTTCAAATGGTTATACAAGGCAACAAGGACCTCGTATTTCGCGGTGGCAACTTTCCACACAATGTTCTGAGTGTCTCCAGCTCCACCTGCAACAAACTCCGCATAGGAGCGCGGTGGCTTGAACAAATAAGGCAACAGTATAGTCAACGCTGGCGGTGTGAGGATAGCCCAGACGCCCGAGGAAGGAAGAAATCCTTGTGCAGCTGGAGACAAGGTGCCCAGTGCCTCTTCGGAAGGCAGCTGATACCGGGAAGTATCAGGGACGGGCGATAAGACTTCTCCCGACAGCACTTGCCAGTTAGCTGTTATAACAGCCTTCATGAAAGATATAGCTGCTAAAGAAACATCCTTCATCGCCAAGATGTCAGCTGCAGCTACGATATCCGTCCAGAAGTTTGGGTGGTCATTCAGGTACATGAAGTAGAGGACACGGGCTGCTGCGGCTTCTTTATGCCAGTCAGTGGGTGTCTGACCGGAAGTATTAAGCTCCATCGAATCCCTCAAGTCGAGTTTCTGTGGCCCGTGCAGTATTTTGGCCAGAGCGTCTAATGCCTCTCTGCAGGGGGGACTTGTTGGAACAGCCAAAAGAGGATTGACGCCGTGCTTAGCGGCCTCGACAAGTAACACACGGGGTAAGGAGGCAAGGATAGCAAGTTGACCGGCGGGGGCTTGCCCATGCGCCCATTGAGAGGACGAGATAGCGAGCGACTCGGAGATCCGTGAGACGATCTTGTCCAGCAGGCTACTTGGATTCTGCAGCAAGTGATTGGGATATAGCTCTGCATACTGTGCAACATAAGCCATGATGGGACCACGCGTGTATTGCAAATCCACGGTATCCAGTTTGGTCTCCTCCAGGTATAACTCCAGTACGCTGCCATGCAGGCCATGAGAGATCAGGAAGTCAAGGGCCGGTGAGGAGAAAGTCGACGCAGACTGCACATAGACTCTAGCTCTCAGACCAGGAGCTTCAATTTCAAGTAGGTCCCGGAAGAAGTTCAGTAAGGACATGTGCATCAAGAAATCGCTCTTATCGACCATCCGACAAGCTGCAAAATGCAGAATGCTAGAGGTATCGTACTTAGCTTCAATCTCCGGAATCTGAGAACTGGAAATCAAGTCCCATCGTAGGTGGCCTGCCTTGACGATGAAACCCAAAAGCCTTCCCTGGGAGACAGTCCTTTCCCGTTGCGGGCGGGCGCCTGGTTCATTGTTGGTGAGACTGCACAGGGAGAAGAGGCGCCCATAGACATTTCTGTCAGTGAAGACTCGTCTCCACAAGAGGCCTTGACCTCCCGTGCTGTCTTCAGCCTCATGGGTATGTGTTTCGCTTTCCAGCGGGCTGGCTAAATCAATCTCCAATAGAGCCCAGAGAGCGTCAAAAGCAGCCTGAGCGACGGCCGTCGAAGTAGTCGTAAGCCAGAGCTCGACCAGCGAGGCAACCAATTCAGGATCACCAGCAACTATTGCAGCATCACTGGGAATTCCTCCTGCCTTTCTCAGGAGAGCTAGAGCCAGCAGGTTGACAGGTGGCGACGGTGCTTTGAAACCCGCGATAAAGTCAATAGGAGGCTCAACCGAGCGGATATCCGTGAAGGAGAAGTAGGTTGTAGCCTTAATACCAAGAGTGGTGATCGGCGTGGGATCTTCCTGAAGGACCGGAAGAAGCTGAGAGATTAGTGTCAGAAGGGTGCCAGGAACCCTACGATCAGTACTCTCCGTAAGCTCCAGTTTCAACTTGTCGATGAGAGAAATGTCTAAAGGAGTCGAAGGATCATCGAGGACATCCTTCAGGTGAGCTTTGACTTCATCGTACGATGACGGAACAGCCATTTTGTCCGAAATAACAGAATATCCTAACCGCTGGTCAAGCTGTTGGACACTCGAGAAAGTTAAAGTTGGACTCCGTAGGACGGTGCGGACAACAGCGGGGAAGCTCAACGGCATTGCAAACAGCGCAAACACCAACCGTAGCTCCATCAGCTTGGGCAGTTGGCTGTTACCACGCCTTTCAATGATGATGATATCAAAAGTGTCTTTCTAATTGTCCTGCTAATATTCTGCTTTACACAGCTTCGGAGTTATGGCTGAAACTACTGGCACTCTAGTCTCCCAGAAATCATCCGATTCGGGGCTTCATATCCAACTACACCCGCTGGTTCTCCTCACCATCTCAGATCACATCACCCGTCATGCCGCGCGATCACAACGAGGACCGATCATTGGAGCTCTTCTGGGACAGCAGAATGGACGTGTGATTACATTAGAGCACGCATTTGAATGTATCGTGACCGAAGGAGCCAACGGCGAACTGCACCTTCTCCACGACTGGTTCGTCGAACGAGTCAAGCAATGTAAGAGCGGAGCCTGTACTCAAGATTCCCATCAGTTCTAGCTAACTAGGCCTCCTACAACAGTCAAGGATGTACACAAGTCCCCCGCCCTCGACTTCGTAGGCTGGTGGTCAACAGCCTCGCCTTCTGGTCCGGACGCATCCCACTTGCCGATCCATCGCCAGATCCTCCAGAGCTACAACGAGTCTGCCGTGTTCCTCGCATTCCACCCATCGCAGGTGCAAGCTGCATCGAGGAATGGCGCCAAGCTTCCCCTGGCCATCTACGAAAGCGTATATGAAGGTGAAAATGCGACAGAGAACGGCAAGGCGATGCAGATAGACGGCGAGGAGCAGTCGCTCTCGATTCGATTCCGCGAACTGCCCTTCTCCGTCGAAACGGGGGAAGCCGAGATGATTGGCATAGACACGGTTGCCAGAAGCGCAAGGACAGCAGCAGCGCTTCAACCGTCTGGCTTGCAGCAGGATGCCCAGACTAGCGCGAAGACCGAAGCTGGCCAGGCCGAGCCGTCGCCCGACACTGTCGTGCTCTCCCACGAAGAGGAAGAACGTAAGATCATTATACTTTCATTCTCTTGAGCTTATCAGCTAATCCGGCCCTCGCAGTAATCGCCAGTCTTAACACACGCCTCAACGCCATCCGAACGTTAGAGTCTCGAATTTCCTTGATCAAATCCTATCTCGCCAGTGTGTCCCACTCCTCCGAAGGACAACCCACCGGAACCACAAAAGCTCCCCTCTCGCACCCGATCCTCCGGAATATCAATGCCCTCTTATCGCATCTATCTCTCCTCACGCCGGAACCGGGAAGCGCCTTCGCGGCGGAAAGCCTCGCCCAGCGAAACGACGTCCTCCTGATTTCCTTGCTGGGACAGCTGGGTAACAGCATCAAGGGCATGCGCGAACTAGGCCGCAAGACCGCCATCATGAACAACATCAGACAGAGCAATGCGTCGCGGAAAACTCAGCTGGCTATGCAGAATCGGCTCGAAGATGAGTTTCTCTCGCGAGAAGGGATGACTCTTAAATAGTGCGGTCTTGCCAGTTTGAATGCACGTGACGACCTGCGCTTCCTCAATGACGGCTCGATCTTTATGGTTCATAGTGGCGTTTGGCGTTTCGCTCGTAGAAGCGAGCATTTTATAACGAGGGTTTAGATAGTGAATCAAAATATGAACTAGCAGAGCTCGACCACCACTCTCATTGCGAAGGAAACGATTCGTATAGTAATTGCATACGCACCGGCAAGCGTACTGATATATCAACTGCTATTGTACAAAGAAAATTCATCCAATGCAATCCCGCGTTTCATGAAAAGTGAATCATAGCAAAATGGAGGCGAGAACTTACGGGCCCCAAGCGTCCCTACGTCACGCACAAAGCAAAGAAGGGGAAACGAAACCCGAATAGAAGAAAACTGCCACAAATCGAATACGACAGAAGGGTATATCAACAAAAGAAAAGAAGGCAAAAGGAATGCCTCAAGAACAAGCCAGCTAGTTCGTGGCATGAATGAAGGGAAACGAAGGGCGGAACATCATCATTCCCGGGGTCGAGTAGGTAGAGGCGAACTGCAACTCAGGGTCATTACCGTTGACAATCGTCTATCGCCGGCTGTGCTCATTGCCAAAGTGGGCAGGCGGGGGCTGGTACGGATCAGGCATAGGTATAGGTGGTTGCTCTTGCAGGTAATCCCGCTCGTACGGATGATGACCCGTAGCTCCCTGCTGAGATTGGGGAAGATTGGTGCCTGCGGGTAGATGGAGGTCGTCGGGGTCCGGTACCTCGTAAGGGTTGTTGTGGTGTTGTTCAAAAGGAGAGTATGGTTGCGGAGAATGAGATGGTGTAGGTTCCAGCAAGGACGTGCTACTCAGCCGATCATGCTCATAATCATATGGTGGAGGCGCCAGGTCGCCAGTCGACTGCAATGTCGGATTTGGCTGCGCGTGTGAGAGAAGAACCTGGCCTTCATCGTCCGGAGATGTCCCATAGGGCGCCACTCTACCGCCAGCCATTGTAGCGCCTGCACCTTGGTAGGCTGTGACATTGGTCCCGGAGCCATTGCTAGTTGTATCGAGGCCGATGACTTCGCTCTGGTTCTGGTAGCTGGGATCCAGCGTTCGCTTCTTACGCCCCACGAAGAGCCAGCGTATGCTGCGGCCCACGGCCTTGGCCAAATCGAGCGGATTGACCGAGTCAAGGAGAGCTTTCGTACCCCAGCGACCACCCTGATAAGTCGCTTTGCCGTTGCCATAGAAGTCAGTCACCTCATCGGCGTGTGCGTTTGCGAGAGAGTACGGCCTCCACGGGAATGCCCACAGATGCAGGACGGAAAAGATCGCCATCTCCACGCAGATAAGTAGGCTGGGGAGTCCAACTTTGAGATCCTGTTGCGCTATTTTACCACTCGGCTTGACAGCTCCGGAGGAGGAGAGAAAACTGATCAAGGTCTGCCCGAGCCGCCGAGTCAGCAAAGGCCATAAATTGCAAGGAAATGGCTCAACTCACAGACTGCCAGAAAGAAAGAAAAATCACCAGCTTGATAGAGATGATCTTGAGGAGTGGCGAAAACTGGCTGATATCATTCTTAATCTGGTAATAGAATTGGATCAGGCAGTACATTGCAATCGAAACAGCAACACACTCCACTGCCATACACTGCTGGTCGTCAGAACACGGCTTGAGATAATCGTATGATCCAGACATACCCATATGTGCGAAAACGCCGGATTCAAACTCTCCTCGCAGTACACATCAAAGGACTGGGTGATAACCGCGACGATGGTCATCAACACACGCAAAAGACAGTATTGGAAGACTCCAACCCAGATAACCTATGCAGCATAGCGATATTAGCCTCGTATTTCATCGCAGCATGGAAAGTGCCTGCGAAACCAGCTTACATTGAACCACGTCAGCCCGCTCCGGGGTACCCTCCACACCCCTTTCTCCCCGCCGCAGCATTTCTGAAGCCAGGGTATAGGCCAGATCCATTGCTTCGGCGCGATTCCGCGAAAATATTCCTTCTGATTGTGGAGGTCCGGCGCAATGTAGTGGCAGAGTAAGGCGAAGAAGGCGGAAATCGTGAACGCTTCGTAGCAATTGCCGATCAGCTCGTAGTAGACCGCATTTTTGTAGAAGTAGGTGCTCAGCCAAGCGACGAGAGAGTAGATGGGGATCATCCATAAGATTCGAATAATACTAGACAAAAAAACACCAGACGTTAGTTCCAAGCGCGTGCAGAGGGGGTAAGCAGAAGTGGGGGCGTAAATCATACTGTCGCTGCTCTATCGGCTTGCTATAGTGTGTCGCATGGCTCATAATCAAGTAGAAGGAGACCGCGGCGGCGAAGACAGCGAAAGCACCCCCAACAATGAGGCATAACTGATGAAAAGTGAGACCGCCATCCCATAAGTCGGCTTCGGTGACTGTCAATAATAATTCCCTGGTTAGCCAGCACTGGTATTACAACAACACGGGAGAGGCATACTCGTTGAATCCTCCAACGTTGTATTACAAACCGGCCACCCCATGCTCGCGTCAGTCAGAACAAAACGATATTAGAGAGTGTGCTTCAAAAGTGGAAAAAGGAAAGTCGTAAAGAGAAGAAAGATATTAATCTCCGATTCGACTGCCAAAAACCTATTGATTGTACAGCGTATGGATCTCTATCTATCCGCCAAGTCGGCCTAGTCCCGGCACAGTAGATCAACAACCCCTGGAACCAGTAGACGAGGGCAAATATTTCTCCGCAAGGTCGCAGGCGACGACGACAATACTTGGCGATGCGGTCTAATTCAGGGGATGAAGAGAGGTAGGTCGGGTACAATCAGGAGAGCAGTGAAAAGAGATATGAGCTCTTAGACAGACAAGGGAGAACAGGTATATTACTGCAAGCGCCTTTGATTGGACCCAAGATTAGGTTACGAGAAATAGAAATCTCAAAGCTCTGCGTATGATTTGTTGACTATTATTATTTTACCTACGGATTCATGGTAGCAGCTAGATCTCACACATGGTACAGCCACAAAGATCCGACTAATAATAACAGAATGGAGACACATGGATCATCACGGCGACTACGCCTCAGGCACCAGCATATGGAAACACGATAGATTACGCTCCCCGTAGACAGGATGAGGGCGTTGCTGCCTTAGGACCTTCCTCAGTAGCAGTCTAACCGTTAATGGCCAGGCTTTGGTCAAGCCTTTCCAAGCATAAAATTGCTGACTAATCACTAAGGGCATTGAGTGGTGGCAGCATAAAACCGTTACAGATTCAAGGGGATCTTCTCATTATCAAAACAGGCTCTGCTCAGTCTTGAGAGCTCGGTTTACATTGTGATAGATCTTCATGCATAATATACACGTGTGCGATCGTTCGTCTCGTTGATAAGAAAACAAATCAGTGAAATAAAAGCAAACCCCCCCCCACTCCCAAGCCCCGCGAAGTGGCACTTTTGATGCGATGTAGGTAATACAGTATTTTTGTCTTTCAGCCTTACAGCCGTCAAAGATCTCTGGGCGTTAGTCCCGGCCTCGTCGGTCATCTCTCCACGAGTCGCCCATGCCGCCTCCACGACCCCGGCCACGGCGCCGTCCGTTGCCACGGCCACCATACTCCGGTCCGTTGTCAACGAAGAAGTCACCGTCTTCAAAAGTGATTCGCCTATTCTCGTCGCCGCCACGCCGCGGGAATGATCCCTTCCGCAGCATGTCATCAAACCGATCCAGACGTCGGTCGGCCACTTCGCGCGGGACACGGAGGTAGTAGAGCTTTGGCTTAGTTGTAGTAGATTCAAAGAGGTCATCCAGCGGCTTGAATCCTTGCCCAGGTCTAGGACGAGGCTCTGGGGGTGGAGGGCCGCTAGGCCGTCTGTCCTTATTACCCATGCTTGCTCTGGGGCCCAAGGGAGGGGGACGAGAGAAATCAGTCGAGGCTCGACCGGGAGCCTGACGCGAAGCGACACCCTTGGCATCCACTTCCTGTAGAACAGCCTCGACACCATCGTCGGTCCGATCATACCGGACTTCCCAACGAGGCGGGGGACCACCGCGCCCGCGCGATCCTTCCTCCCTTGCGACCCATTGCTGCAGCTTTTGCTCGGGAATGAAATCGACAAACAAAGATTTTCTGTTGCTTTCATTGGGCCAGACAACACCGTGCAAGGCTGTTCGCGCTCTCGAGGCAGCCGATATATTCGCGAACTTTACAAAACAGTGCGTTTTGATGGGATCCAAATAAAAGTCAACGATCACGTCAGGATCCGGTGATGAGCCAGGGGCTGTTGCGATGCTGACAAGATGGTTTCTAAGTGCAGTAGGTTGGAGAGGGCGCATCAGTCCATCGATATACAGCGCTTCGGTCGCGACATGTAGCGCGGGCTCGACCTCGGCATCTTCCATTACTGTATCTGCCGGCGGTGATGGGGGGCGAATCTGCTCTCTGTCTGCAGGTGCAAAAAGGTCTCTGAAACGAGCATCTTGCTTGATAGGCGCAGTTCCCTTCGTCCGCACATCATCACTTATTGATACACGGCGAGTCGCATCAGTATTCGGAGCATTTCGTGCATCTCCATTTTGGTTACGGGCTTGCTCGTTCTCTTCAGAGGCGGTGGCGGCCTTCTTTCCAGGACTCTCTTCCACATCCATAACATCCCGGTCTTCAGGCAGTAGAACTCGAGGCGAATCCTCCTGTGCCTTGGCCCTTTTGCTTGCAACCGCCTCCGGTGTTGGAATCGGAGTTTGACTGCGGCGCTTCCGCTTCCGGATGTCTTCGATCATCTCCTCCACGGGGAGGGGCGTTGACAGCCCGGTAGTCGCCGCAGATACCTGGGTCGCAGTCTTCTCAGCAGAATCCGGAAGTTCTTTAGAGTCCAGTCCTGCAGGAGCAGGCTGCACCGGTTCTGCGCTTCCGGGAGCCTGCTCGACCGGTTTGGCAGGGTGCTCAGCTTCTAGCTGTGGTGGCGCAAGTGAAGGCGCACTGCTTTCACCGCCAGCTCCGGCATCTGCAGCCTGATTGACTTTAGATTCCTCGCTAGAAATTTCAGGTTGTGTCTGCTGTAATGACTCCTCCGCTTGTACCTCCGCTTTTGTATCAGTCGTCGGTCCCTCCACTGGAGGCTCGGGCTTAGGTTGCTCGTTTTGTACATCCGGCTGCTGCACTTCCTGTCCTTGTTCAGGCGATCGCTTCACTTCTCTGTCCTCTTTGGGCTCTTCGGACTCCGGCGCTGTCGCCTGCGGCTTTGGCTCTTCCGATTGAGAAACGACGGCCTCGAATTCTTGCGCAGGCTGTTCAGGCGATCGCTTCACTTCATTGTTCTCTTTGGGCTCTTCAGACTCCGGAGCTGTCACCTGCGGCTTGGGCTCTTCCGGTTTAGAATCGACGGCGTCGGGTCCTTGCACGGGCTGTTCAGGTTTTGCCTGCTCGATATTTCCAGGCGCATCTTGAGAAATTGGCGATTCGCCATTCGGAGCTTCAACATCTTGCTTGCCATCTTCTTCCAGAAGCCTGTCGATAAAATTTTGTTTGACTCTCAGACCAGTCTGCGGAATACCGCGCCGCTTCAGCTCCGCTTTCAGATCGGTCACTTTCCAACTCCAATAATCAGTCATTGTGGCGGAGTAGCGCGTCTTCGCAGGATGTGAGCATGTATAATTTATCGAATTTTTTGTGAGTTGGGCTAGGTAGTGGTGGTCATGACTGCGAGATGCGATTCCTTGCAGTACAGGGTAGCTGCAAGTGTTGGTTGTTGGAAGCAGTAGGTGGAATGATGTAGGCGCTAGGCTACTTACGTACTAGTGCTGGAACCCAGTTTACCCAGTATGGATAGTGGACTCGAGAGTGAATTGCCAGAATAGGTTAGTCCGATTCCCTAGCAATAAACAATCACGAAGAGTCCATGTTGTTATTGTAGACCTTAAATACCATTCTTGACAATAATATGGAGTGGTTTTCAGTATGTAACAATACATTTCTCGAAATAGCGTGAGTTCGAAATCGTTCACTAAGATATATATCCTTGAGGAGATCTCTCTACCCACAGTAACCCAACACCGCATCAGCTTTTTCTTTAAATGCTTCCATTGCAGCGCGATACAACTCAGGTCCAAGACTGATCCGGGCAACCCCTATTTCTTTGAGCTCTGGTACCGTCAAGTATCCCTCCTGTAAGGTCATCTTGACGTTCAGTCTTCCATCAAAAGCTTCAACCAGCCTCTGGATCTCTTCCTTGGACACCCCTCCCCTTGCAGATCCACCCCAGACAAACACTGTACAAGCCCCAGCCTCCAGGTAAGCTCTTCCCCTTTCAATTGCATCCTCGATTGATCCTCCGTTTTTCCCGTCGTGCTTGAGAAGGACATCTGTCCGCGCATTAATCACGAAATCAGGCACCCCTGCTTCCCTCGCAGCCTGCATGGCAACCTGAATCCGCTCCACAGCCTGTGACATCGGCCGCAGTCGATTGTTGGCATTATCAAAGTCTTCGAGATTGCAGCCGACGGCTCCCAGAGCGATAATTTCTCTGATTGTAGCGGCGACGTCTTCATAGCCGTCTTGCATATCCACTGTCAACGGGATGCGTGGGAGGCCGTCACCGTTGGCCTTCAGAACAGCGGCAATCGAGCGCACAGCCGCTAGATTCTGGGACAGAGTCAACTTGTCGTCTGCGATGCCTTGAGAGGCGGCAACGGCGTAGCTGGCGGTAGCGATCGCCTTCGTCGAGGGATGCTCGGCAATAATTGAGGCGGTTGCGGCATCGTAGACGTTCGTAAGAACCAAGGGCTCTCCGGGAACATGTAGCTTGCGAAACTTGACTGCAAGGTCGTTCTGCATGCTCTTGGTTGTCATGTTGTGGATGATAGCGGTGAGCGTCTGGTTTCTATTGTCTAGAGCACCTTTGAGATTGCGAACAAGAGGTATATTACACAAAGCAGAATATACAAGCGACTGCTTCTGTTGAAGGAGAAATCTGTATCTTTATATACGAGGGGCCGATGACTCTTCATTGATGCGGGGGTCCTCGTATTCGATAGAGATGGAGCTTACTATTGCTCTCAAACTGGCTAGTCAGAGGACAAGACAGACTAGTTGCGACCTCTTTTATAACTCTTGAATAGGCAGCAGAAAGAGATGCAATTGTCAATCAGAGAAACTGTGGTAGGTCCACAGTATGAGAAGAGCAAGCTTCTTCAGGTCTCAAACATGCAGTACAAATTTGTCCAGCTCTCTTCCAACATGTTCCTACGTGGTCCAGACGTGTAAGCCATCCAGTGTTCTTCCCTTCTGCGAAGCTTTCTGTAGTTGTGAAAGAATCAAAAACCATCTCTTCTGCAATCGGGGGAATGGTCTGCCCAGTGAGCACATAAGGATAGACAACTCGTGAATTCCTTGATTCAGTAAAGGAATCATTCCCCCAAGATCTCTGGATAGGTCTTCCTTACGGCTACCCATCCTTAAGTGAGTTGAAATTAGAAGGGCCAACCTGATATGACAGGTTCCTTGCGAAGTTAGCATATTCTTATGCTTTTAGGGTAGCCGATTACCCTAATTTGCATCTATCGCCAACTGGTTAAGCAATCATGAGTCATCAGAAGGCGGTATCATAGTAGTGGCAGATGTGTTCTCACCGCTTTTATGAAAACGAAGACATTCTGATAGGTTCAATATGACGAGATACTCCCCGCAGAGTCATAGTGGACCCCCCCCCCCCCCCCGATTTTCGGAGTTAAGGTATTCGTCTCTACCTCTGTACTTTCTGAACTTTTTTCTCTCGACGTCTTCTTTTGTCGCTGGTTCATCAATTCTGAGAATAATTCCCTATTATTTCAGTTATTTCTTGCTTTTCCATTCATTGTTACGTTTCTTGCGTCAACACGCTCATAATGGCGCCTGAAACCAATGGCGCTCCTGGAAAATTCCGTCAGTATCCCCCATTGCACACTCTCGCCCTTCTGTGGTTGCCCCTCATTTCCATGACATCTTGGTGAACAGCTACTAAATCCCGTAGAGAGAGTTGCCTCCTTGCCTGAAAACCCATATGCGAAACTCATCACTGATCAGTCTATCGCTATTATTCCGTCATTTACCCTGGAATCGGGTGTGACCCTCCACAATGTCCCGGTCGCCTACACAACGCGGGGTGAAATGTCCCCCACCCGTAACAACGTGCTGGTGATCTGCCATGCTCTGAGCGGAAGTGCCGATGTGGCCGACTGGTGGGGACCCCTGCTCGGAGGTCCCGGTCAAGCCTTTGATACATCGCGATTTTTCGTCATCTGTTTGAACAGCCTGGGTAGTCCTTACGGAAGTGCGAGTGCCGTAACTTATAAGGATGGCAATCCCGAAAAAGGGCTGTATGGACCTGAATTTCCTCTTACCACTGTCCGCGATGACGTGAGGTTAGTGGGCACATACACCAAAACTTGAGTCGTGAGGTTGCTGACCGAAGTAGAATTCATAAGATGGTCCTTGACGATCTGGGCGTCCGGCAGATTGCAGCCGTCGTCGGCGGTTCCATGGGCGGCATGCTGACCCTTGAGTACGCCTATTTCGGCAAAGACTACGTCCGGGCGATTGTACCAATTGCCACCTCTGCCCGCCACTCGGCGTGGTGCATCAGCTGGGGTGAAGCTCAGCGGCAAAGCATCTACAGTGACCCCAAATATGAGGACGGGTATTATTCATTCGATGACCCTCCAGCCACCGGTTTGGGAGCGGCGCGCATGTCCGCTCTTCTGACCTACCGAAGCCGCAATTCTTTCGAGTCTCGCTTTGGTAGAAACGTTCCCGATCCATCGAAGAGACAGAATATCAATGGCACCGAGCGTTTGCCGACTCCGCCGAATGAACACTGGGCCATTCATAATGATGGTCATAAGGCCGGCATCTCTTCCCGGGCCCCCAGCGAGCGCAACTCGCCTGGGCCACAGCAGCCCTCTGAAGTCCAGTATATGGATCCTCAGTTCTCCGGCACAAAGACCTTTAGCACTCCCGTCAGTAACGGTGACAGAAAGCGGCCTCCCACCTACTTTTCAGCGCAATCCTATCTTAGGTACCAGGGAGAGAAGTTTGTGAAACGATTTGACGCCAATTGCTACATTGCTATCACACGCAAGCTCGACACCCACGATGTGTCACGACACCGGGCCAGTCCAGGATCGGAGGATCCCGTCAAGGAGGCACTATCGCAGATCGAGCAGCCAGCGCTGGTTCTTGGAATCGAGACCGATGGACTCTTCACTTTCGAAGAGCAGAAGGAAATCGCGGCTGGCATCCCCAACTCGAGACTCAAGCGAATTGAGAGCCCGGAAGGTCACGATGCTTTCCTTTTGCAATTCGAGCAGGTCAACCGTTACATCCTGGAGTTCTTCCGAGAAGTTCTGCCGGACATCATGGCGAAGCCACCTGCCGAAGGGGCAGTGGCCGTTGACGGCGTTAACAAATTAATCAAAAGCAGCACTTTCGGAGAGGCGGAGGTCGAGGATATCACTGCCTGGTAAGCGGGGACGCATATCGACCGAATCGACACTGGCGCATTTATTGCAGCCTCTAATTATTCGCCATGATGCTCTGTTGGGGAGCAAGTGTCCCGGATCTCCTCTCGGTGAAGAGAAGACGCTCCGAGGAAATTCGAGTGCTTGCTTCCGAGCACATCGGCGGCTTGGGGGAGTAGTGGTGCAACTCTCATGATTCCAGTTCTTAAGCCATCAGAGGGACGAGCATCCAACTGCCTCCTTCGTAACCTATTCAACAGGTAAGGCTGTAAAGAAGCATCCAACTGCTCTCCATCATACAAGCCCTGACAGACCCGTTCTTCTGCGCTTGCAGAGATCTAACTGAGGGTGGTGGGCGACCTTTCAGTACGCAGTATCATTTCAACATAGGCATAGACGTGCATAATACGATCTACAGTATATAGCGATTGCAATCGTCGTTGCTGTTTGGACAAGTTAAGACCGTGTGTAGATGCTCATAAGCTTTGAACTGTACGAAAAAGGCATGATGTCAATCGGAATAGTTATGTACTCTACTACCTAGAGGTAGTACTTGGGTGATTTCTCCATTCGGAGAATGCTCAGGTGTGTGTTTGATGCCACTCGTACCTCTCTAGAGAGGTAGATCATAGAGAAATATGATATCATACCGCACGCACGGCGTAGAAGGCAACCAGTAACCCTAATAAGTCATCCAATATTCTACAACCACAAACGACCACGCAAGTACCCATAGTAGTACTCCCTTCGAAGGTCGAGACTTGGAGCTATATCGATAGCCCGCAACGGCGTTGGGTACCATTGTAGCACTGCAGATTGCCGTTGACAACGCATGTCGTTGTCAGGGCGGATTGCTCATAAACCCCCTTGATTCATCCCTTTCATCACTCCGCTGTCGATCCCTTGCCAACTCCAACATTGGGCCCATGCAGCTCCAGAGATGATCAGTAATTGCTTTCTCTTGCGCATTGCGAGTGCAAAAGTACGTTGAGGAGAGAGAAGTAGAGTAAGATGCACGATGTCTGGAGGGGCTGATGCAAGCAACCAGATGGTTGAAGACAGTGATCTGTATACCTGACTAGATCATATAGACAGTACGTTGTTGTTGAATATGACTTCAATAGGCGTTGATCTCGTCTCAAAGATCAAATCACCGTCTTAAACCCGGCAAATCAGTTGGCAGTGCTTCCTTCCCTCCCTGCTGATTGATGTGCTGGGGACAGAAGGAGTTACACAGCTTGATCAGTGTAACCTTGGTGCTCGAGGCCATCACTATCTAGGCCATCACTACTAACTGTCTGTTTTTCTTCCACTGTCTGTTGTTATGCTCACTGGTCCGTAGGTACTACTCCTACTACTTCTGCAGACACATTGACAAGTTTAAACCCTGCTTTTTCTCGCTTCTTTGCCCACAGATTATGTGCTGTTGTTCATCTGCAACTTTCTTTTCTGTTTCTATCCATCTCTCTTTCTGCATGCTTTGGCCTGGTTGCCTGAACCTTGCCTTGACGCCATTTACCGTCATTCGTTTCCCACCCTCTCATCTGCATCTCTCTGACGATCGTTTCATCGCACTATTGACTTCCAGTAAAGCTTGATGATATCCAACTGCCTGCCTCTCGATAAATTCACTGTCCAGACTCGGCACAAGCTGCAGAGCTCCACGTTCTTTCGTTCACTCCATTATTAGAGCGACATTGACCAAGCAACCCCCGCATACCAGTCCCTCCATCGCCTCATAACAACCCCATCGTGGCGACACTCGTTTGACTTCATTCGACAATAAACGCCACTGATTATACTAGACGATCTTGCCATCTGCACAGTCCATAGGGCAAGCCGTGTGATTCGTGCTCCTCTCATTACTGGCGCCATCCTCGTTCACAGACTACATTTTACAAGCATACTTAACGTTGGCCCGTGAATCATTAGAGCTGGTCTCCCTGTGATCCATCGGTTTTCTTGATCTCTTCTCTCTTTTCCTCAACGCTTGCCTACAATCTTTCAGTTCTCACTGGTTCGACTGGACTATCAACAACATGGAGCCCGCTCTTTCGAGAAGAAAGAGCATCAGGACGAAGCCTTCTCTTTCGTTTCTATTTGGCTCGCAGGTAAGAGCAGCTACACCAAATCAGACGACCTGAACTAGATGTTGACTCGATGCTAGCAAAATTCTGGCTTCGCTCGGCGAGAGGAGTGCTCGAGATATTACGACTTGAAACATACACCCATTATCTTCAGGCGCCGATCTGTGCTGATTGAGCGTCGCAAGATCTCTCCCTGGCTGGAGCGAGAGATCCGCTGGTCTTGTGTCTTGCTTGCGAAGAGCATTGAGCAAGAAGAATTTGAACATGATATCAGACAAACACTGACCTGCCATGATGCCTCCCTCCCGCCGGAGAAAGTTGAGGTCCACGCTGCGGTTTCAGCGCCAGGAGAGCAGAGCCAATGCAACAACGACATCAGGAAGTATGACTCTGCTATTGAGCTAGATACTCAGCAGGTCTCCAGCCTGACAAATGAACTTCCTTCAACTTCTCCTTTCCACGACCTGCATGAATTCAACTCTTCTTCCAATCACGATTCATCGACGAGTGCTAGCTCGCCTGCCACAACTTGCAGCGACATGACTTTCTGCACCGGACTGTCTAGTATTGAACCTTCTCTCAAGGGCCTTGCTCCAAATGTGCAAGATCAACACCCAACTACAGAAGAAATTTCCGTGGAATGCCCACCAGCACAGTCCGAAGAGGCCTTCCTGGCGGGCGAGGCCAGCCCTAATCTCTCCACCGACGAAGAGACCATCTCAGATGACGTCGAAGTATTCCTCAATCCAGATAAGACCACACCCGACCTCGGGAGGACACCGAGCCTCTCCCGACCGTGCACCAAGGCCGCCCAGCTCGACCACCAACCACGCTGCGAGGACTTCCCAGCTGTACCGCAGAGCAATACCACCGAAGCCCACAAGACCAGCGACGGAGACCTAACAACGAACGATCCACCACCCAACCCCGGCGGATTCGGCGCTACCTGCATTCGCAAGCACGACGACCAACCCGCCGCCATCGTCGACAGCAGCGGCGTCGTCCATATCATGACAGACGCTGAAGAAGCACAGCGCAACAGCGACCTCCAGCTCGCCGTCATGGAGAAGATGAAAACCGGCATTATCGGATGCAGCTTCACTTCGCCTGCAGAACAAGACGCCGCTGCTCCCCCATCAAAGTCCGACAAATCTCCACTACCAGCCTCCGCAAAACAGAAAATGTCATCCTTCTGGTCTCTACGATCGCTCATCTTCAAAGAGAGCTTGGCGAGCCTGAGGCGCCATCCCAAAGAGCGCAAAACTCATTCACCCTCTCATTCTCGATCTCAGTCCGGGTCTCAGTCTGAGGCTCAGCTTCCCCGCAAGAGCAATTCTCTGCTGAGGAAGATGTCCAAGTTGGACATGGGGAGGCACAGGCCCGGCAGTGCGTCTCGCAGCAAGGACACGGCGGGATTCAATCGAATCGTCAGCTAAGTACCTTAGTCGTACCCTGCTTCGGGAATGTGCCTTACCACGGCCGTCGCTTAATGTTCATCTGGCTTGACAGCGTGCTTAATTGTAATGGCTGATTTGTGAAGTTTGCATATTACACAGTATGTTTTCCAGACAGCAAATTGCTTGCGACTTGTTATTTGCGATCTGTCTAGATATTTGCGTCTACCCGACTCGATTACGGCTGTTTATGAAATCTGCTGCATGTGGCGGACGGGGAAGCGTTTACGTTCTGTATGGCTACTACGAATTATGTAAGAGCAAAAGGAAAACTGAATGAACTATACCATATCTATTGGTATCAATCTCTTCAACTTGTCTCGTCTCATCCAGAGGTACATCATTTCCCGTCATCGAATCGAGTAAACCATAACAACGTAAGGTAAGAAAAAGAAAAACGACCAAGTCATCATCCATCATTCGTAACCATCAGGGTCGAACTGTCTACAAACCCAGCCAGTACCGCGTCTTCCCAACCTCAAAAGAGGACTTGAGCACCTCGTCGCCTGTCCCCGTCACCAGCACCTCGTACGCTCCCTTCTCGGAAGCCCACTTCTCACGCTGCTCATCCCACCAGCTTGTCGCCAGCTTCTTCTCGACCACGATCTCGACCTTCTTCGTCTCGCCGGGTTGTAAGAACACCTTGGCGAAACCCTTGAGTTCCCGCACGGGGCGGTTCACCCCCGTCGGCGGCGGGGCGACCCACAGCTGAACAATCTCGGCGCCGGCCACGCTGCCTCTATTCGTCACGGAGACAGTAGCGGTGATAGGCTCGCCGTCTTCCAGCTGGGGTTTCTCTGGGCTGGTGGCGAGCGACAGGTCCGAGCGGGAGAAGGTTGTGTAGGAGAGGCCGTGGCCGAAGGGGAAGAGAGGGGCCAGATCGACCTTCTCGTAGTAGCGGTATCCGACGTAGACGTCCTCGCCGTAGAGGACGCGGCCGCGCTCGGAGCGGAAGTTCAGGTAGGCCGGGTTATCCTGGAGGCGGACGGGGAAGGACAGCGGGAGCTTGGCGGAGGGGTTGACGTTGCCGTAGAGCACGTCTGCGATGCCGTTGCCGCATTCGTTGCCGCCGAACCAGGCCTGGACGAGGGCCTTGGCCTTGTGAGCCCACGGCATGGTAACGGGGGTGCCGCTCTGGATGACCACCACTGCGTTGGGGTTCGCGTCCAGCACGCGGCTGATCAGCTCGTCGCTGCCTGGGGGCAGATCCATGTGATCGCGGTCGTGGCCCTCTGTCTCCCATTCGCTGGTGAGGCCGGCGAAGATGACGACTTGCTCGGCCTGGGAGGCTAGCTCGGCCGCCTTGGCGATGGGTTCCTTGTGGCTGACGCGGCGAGCGGCGCCGAAGCGGAACCCGCCTGGGCCGAAGATGACTACGCCGCGCATGTCGAGGTCGGATGTTGGGGTGCTGCCGAATTGCAGGAGAACCTTGTAGGTCTGGCCGGCCTTGAGTTCCTTGGAGCCTTGCTCTTCCACGGTGGCGTTGCCGAAGAAGGCGGTGCCCTGGCGCTGGTTCTTGGAGTTGTCGACGACGAGCTCGTCGTCTATGAATAGCTTGCCGGTGCCCACGACTGTCACACCGAAGTCGTAGATGCCGTCTTCTTCCGGCGTGAAGTAGCCCTCCATGTCAACGTAAAAGGTGAAGGTCTTGATCTTGGGGTGCTTGTAGTCCATCAGAAAGCCGCTGGACGATTCAAGGTGCAGTTCATCGATGAGCTGGCGGTTGGGTTCCGAAGGGGCCTCGTTGTACACGCGGAACTTGAAGCCCTTCTTGCCATCGTCCGTCTTCAGCAGAGGACCGAGCAAGGGGAGATCCTTGTACGAGTAGACACCCTGTGAGAACTTGACCTCGCCCTGGCTCTGGGCCGAGACGCCTTCAAACGGTGTCACCGTGTAGTATGCATCTAAGGACGCTGATCCGCCGCCGCAGTACGCGGCAGTCTTGGCGTTTGGCCCGATGACCAGAATGGGCTTCTCTTTCTTTAAAGGCAGAATGTTGTCCTGGTTCTTCATGAGAACCACAGATTCTGCCGCCGCTCGTCTGAGCAGAGCCTGGTCCTCTGGCCGATTCAAGGCCCTTTCAGGCGCATTCTCTGGGATACCCAATGGCTCGACAAAGTTGTGCAGGTTCAAAATGTTGCGAACCCGCTCGTCCATCACGTATTCAAATGCCTTGTTGGATGAAACGGCATGCGCCAGAGCGGTTCCGCGCCAGCGGGTCGGGCCTGGCATTTCAAGATCCAAGCCAGCATTGATGGCATCGGAAGTACTGTATGTTCCAAACCTGCAAATTGTCAACATCTTTCTGTGCCACATAGAGTCATTCAGTATTGATCAGGTATGAACTTACCAGTCACTCATAACCAGACCGTCCCACCCCCACTCCTTGCGGAGAATATCGGTGATGATCTGCTTGTTCTCACTGACATGCGTTCCGTTGATCTTGTTGTAGGCTGTCATAACGCAGGCTGTCTTGCAGATCCTCATCGCCAGCTGAAACGGCAAGAGATAAATCTCGCGCATAGCGCGCATCGTCACAATGCTATCAACGGCCAAGCGCTCATGTTCCTGGTCATTACAGACAAAATGCTTCAGAGTGGCCGCAACGCCCTTCTCCTGCAGACCCTTGCAATAGTGTCCCGCCAGAATGCCCGAGAGCACACCATCCTCGGCAAACGACTCGAAGCCTCGGCCTCCAAGCGGAGATCGCTGGATGTTGATTGTGGGTCCTAGCACGATATGCGAGCCTTTGGCAATAGACTCCTCCGCCATCAGTCGGCCCACCTTGTGCAGGAGCTCAGTATCCCAAGTCGCGCCCAGCGCGGTTGCGCAGGGAAAGCAGGCGGCAGGGACGCCATTGAAGAAGCGTGTGCCGCGCACACCATTGGGGCCATCGGACATGCGAAGACTCGGGATGTTGAGACGGGGAACGGCAGCCGAGTGCCAGAAATCAATTCCTGTCATCATTATTCTTGTTAGCTCGATTGTCGATGTATACCACCAAAAATTGATCCGCTTATGGTTGGAAATCACACGCGAATCGCGCGATCACATACCAGCTGTGAGAGCTACCTTCTCACCGAGCGTGAGCTCCTCAATGGTCTTTTCGACATCTAACTGAACCATGATGAACGGATGATCAAGTATTTACAAGAAAAGAAAATGGCTCCCTCCGATCAACGGTTGGGGTAAAACACGATAATCAAAGAGGCACCACGATTCTCAGAGTTGCAAGGCAGTCAAATAAACCAGCAACACAATGATGAGAGGAAGGAGGAAGCATGTGAGGAGAATGACGACAAAGGAAAAAAAAGTTGAACTGTTGAGGGGAAACCGAGCACTAGATATACTGCGGCTGTATCTCCAGTCTAAGCATACTCCAAAATCTCCAACTGCACGCGGACTGTCGCCTTGCAAAAGACAAAAGAACAAGTAATCATGAACTGAAGATGAAACAAACCACGTCTATGTATTCATTCGTTCTACCGTCCCGAATTCTCCGTCGCGATCTCAGGATCGGGTGGGTTGAGCCGTTCGTTGTAGATAGTAGCCGAGTGCGGAATCATTATTTCGCAGCAGTTTGGAGTTCTGCACCTCAAGCATGTCAGCATCAGTGAGTGCATCACAGATGGAGCTTCTCCAGCCGGTGGATCGCCGGTTGGGACGCCCGAAGTTCTCCCAGCGGTGGAGAAACATGCACTGATTATCCTAGTAGATGGTTATGTATTAAAATGAAACTGACAGGAACGGCCCTCGTGAGCACAGGCGCACTAGCATGGATAATCAGTAGTTAGTCAGGGAATAATGATAACAAGCACGGCCGGGAGAAGCAATCCCACTAGTGCTCGCATGATATGGATCCCCGCCAGCCGTGGATAATCCCTGGAGTCAAGGCTTCAGGGACCGATGAGTCGATGAGGCTAGACAGAGAGCCAGATGAAAAGGAAACGGAGCAGCGTCCGAGGTTTAACCGACGTTTGGCGGTTCGGAGAGCGGGGGAAAACACGGAGTGTCGGTCCGATCTGCCTGTGATTATTCCTGGGCTAGGATTAGACTCGGATAATAAGAAGAATGATGATGGTTTGACGGTCTGCTGATGGCTTGAAAGGAGTGGGGGTAAAGAGACGTTACTTAGAGAGACTGGAAAACAGACAGCAAAGCAGCCCTCGTGACCACGACTGTCGGTCCCAGGAGCTTCACTTCAGTGCTTCACGCAGAGAAGAGAAATGCTAATAAATAATGTCATCATTCCATCTGATGATACTGCTGTCTTCAATAATACACGCCTATGAATTGAATTCCTGTACTCGTAATCCCTTAGATCCGACGTAGGCTTGGTGGTAATGCAACAACGAACACCGTCCAACAAATGCAATGATATAGAGCCCCAAATGAGATAAGGAAGAAAGGAAACATAGTGCTCGAATGAATGGAGAATACAACAAAAGCTAGCCCGTTTCTTTTCCCATTTATTGCCCTCGCCGGGGCCGTTTGCTTTCCCCTCCCATTCGCATGCCTCCTCGGCCTCCACCACCTCCTCCTTCACCAGGTCCGTCGTCTCCTCCAGGTCGGCCTCGTTTTCGGTGAGGTCCCCCGCTTGCGCCGTCGCGATTGTAGTCCCGATCCCGTACCCGGTCGCGATTCCGGTCTCGATCCCTGTCCCGTACCTCACGACCGCCGTTGCCGCCACCGCCGCCTGCACCCCATCGTCGATCTTCCTCCGCGTTACCCGGAAGGGGAGGTGGTGGTGGCGGCGGAGGCGGTGGTGCTCCGCCCAAAGAAGAAGGAGGTCGGAGACGGCCTTCGTGCTCATGGCTGCCCGGTCCAAATTCGGGATTCTCTTCCCTCTCTCGGCGGTCTCGGCGACGGTTTTCTTCGCGCGAGCCGGCTCCGCGTCGCGAGGCCTCTCGAGACTCATATCGTTCCTCTCGAGAGACGGTTCCTCCAGTATCACCGCGCCGACTACGTTCGCGTTCAAAGTCTCGGACCCGTTCTCGTTCCTCTCGGCGACTGCTACTACGGCCTCCGTCTTCGTCCGGACCACCTCGGCGTTCACGCTCGCGCTCGCGATCACGTTCTCTATCCCGATCGCGATCCCGTTCCCGTTCCCGTTCCCGGTCGTTTGAGGCCCTGCCAGATCGTCTTGACTCAGATTCGGTTTCTTCCACTGGCTCACTCCGTCCGCCGCCGAGACGACCCTTGGAAGGACCATCGTCTTCAGTAAAAGAAGCCGAAGGCCGGCCAGTCAGAAGATCAGGACGGCCTTGACTGGATAAACCCGATCGGCTACCCTCTTCCGAAGCCCCCGGTGTTCCTGGTCGAGTGCTTTGGGGCGAGGGACCACCCATACTTGACTGTCTGTTCGCGCCGCGACCACGAATTTGCGGGCCAGGGCCTCCACGGTCTCCAGGTCCGCCTGATTGCTGGAGCATGGTGTTGATCCCCGCAAACCGCTTGTCCCCCCTTCCGCGTTCACCACCAAACCCAGGTCCTGAAGGTGGTCCGCGGTTGGTTGCGGATGGACCGGAGGGCGGCGCAAGGCCACTACGAGGTCCGGATGGCGGAACAGTTGATGCGGGAGATGGAGATTGATTAGAGCGTGGACTGCCGCCAAAAGTGTCCTCAGTGGCTTGCTGTTGCAGAGCCTTGAGACGGTCTGGATGAATTCCACTGGCATCGAGCTTCTCAATTTTTGGCGAGGAAGGGCCGGTTGAACTCGGCTGTTCAGGTGCGCCTCGCATGCCTTGGCGACCTGGTCCAGTGGGTGGTTGACGATCCGGGGCCCCGGCAGGAGAAGACGGTGTAGCATGCGAGAGGCCAGAGGCGGTGCGTCCACCCCGTCCGGATGGATTTCTTCCCCGTGGACCAGAAGGTATGTCTGATGTTGGCTCTGGTTGACGTAATCGGCCATGGCTCATGTCGACGCCAGGCTCCCTGGGCTCGGGGGCTTCCATGGGGGCCCGTGATTGCCGGTCATTGCGGGGTCCGGTCGGTGTATCGTCGTACCGCGAACGCGCTTGAGGGTGAGAGAGGAAACGGCGGTCATTAGGTGGGAATCGTTCCGGACGATTTGGGAGGTCCGCCCTTGGGGGTGAAAGAGCCCGTGTTTGCAAAGCTCTTCGGTCATCCTTGTCTTGTCGCATTTGCTCGCCGCGCCGGTATCCGTCTCCACCGCGCTCAGGGTGATCTTGAATCAAGTCTGCGCGATCAGGGTGGGTCTGTGGGCCAGGTGGTACAGACCGTGACGAAGGAGCTTCGCGGGAATCTGGAGATCCACGCAAGCGTCCAGGACGGTCAGGCCAATCCGCCTCACGCGTGAGACGTCCGTCACGATATGGAGGGCCCCGGAAGGGTTCGTCTGCAGGGGTTCTGGGAGGAAAGTCTCTTTCGAGACGACCGTAGCTTCTGCCTTCTGGCCCAGGCTGGTCGAACGATCGGCTATGTTCATGATCACCGAACCGGCCGCCCCGAGGGAAGTCTGACTGTCTGTCTCGTCGAGCATCCATGAGATCCGAGCGCAGTGGCAACCGGCCGTCATCACCACGGAATGGGCGACTTGGTATCTGCGATTGGGGACGCATATTGGGACTGCTGAAAGGAGCTCTATCTGATTCCGGGCGTCTGGGAACATTAGGAAGGCGTCCAGATTCCGAAGCCTTCGTGGCCGTTTGCGATGCGGCTGGCGAGTCAGAACCTCGTGGATGCGAGGGAAGCTCAACCTCTGTCTGAGCCTCAGTGGAAGCAACGGGTTTCTCGCTCGTAGGTTGACTGCTGGTTGTCTCATGAGGTTGTGTGACGGTGGACTCTTCGCCTTGGCGTGACGCAACTTCGGCTTCTTCTGCCCGTTTCTGGGCAGCTTGATCGCTTGTCTCGGTGTCCTTAGCCGATACATCCGCCATTTTAGCGTCTTCGATCTCCCCGTCCTCTACCTCGGACTTTTTCGTCACTTCATGTCTGGGGCCGCCTTCAGGTCTGCGCATGACTTTGTTAGAAACTTCCGTTAAATCATGGAGGGGTGTCCGGATGTCAACTTACTCCGCGGATGATGGGGGCTTGAACTCGGGCGCTGCAGCATTCAGGGAAGTTGGTGTGGTGGATCGAGGCCGTGGAGTCCCGGGTTTTCCAGCTGCTGGTGCAGGTCCCTTGCCCGCTGGTTGGTTTGAAACCATGAAGGCTTGTGGTAGCATCCATTTCTTCTCTCGGCGATTCAGGTCGCCGATCAGCGATGCGGCAGGGATTTTCACGTCGTCTCGCTCATCGTTTTGACTAAGGTTGTTGACGCTAGTGAGCATGTCACGACCAATCCAGTTGACAGCGGGGAAATGCTGCACGACTGCCTTGAGGACACTGATCGCGTTCCGAATATGCATGTATTCGCCTCCATTCAAACAGATCTTGAGTGCGGAAGCCAGAAGTCGGTGCCACTTGTACAATAGCCGGCGGAAGTCCTCGTACTCCAAGAACGTGGTAGGTTTGCCTTCGGGATCGACATTGATGGCAAAACCAGGCAGGTCTTTCTTCGTACCAAAGGCTTCCTTCTCATACACAGCCTTGTCGGCATGCCAGCGACCGAGGTCGCGAATGACCTCGTTCAAGAACCGGCCAAGATTATCCGCTTCGCGCGAGGTGCATTGGAAAATCAAGGCGGTAAGTCGCTGCTCGCGGAACAACTGATCTAACAGCCCAACAGTACGAAAGTTAGGTGTGCCGGACGTGTGTAAGAACTTGAGCATCTTAAAGCAGTAGAACGCATCGATGGGTGACAGCAGCAAACGGGGCAGGAAGCACTGTTCCAGCAGGCTGACGTTGAGGGAATCATGCTTCCCGCGCATGCCGGCGAACCACCGGTCCTTTTCCTTCTGTAGCCTTGCCCTTGTCTGACCGTAAGCCTTCAGATGAGCCTTATTTTCCTCCAATATGCGTTCCTGCAGTTGGGTTATCTGCTTCTTTTCTCTTTCCTTTCGCTGAGTGCCGGCCATGCTAATGTCGGATCGATCGCTGTTGATGGCCACGACCTTTTTCTTCTGACGTTCGATCTCATCTTCGTAAGCCTTCTGGGGTATATGTACGTCGTAAAGCGACAATTGCCAGAAGATGACGTAAAAATGCAGGCCGACCACTCCCCA